ATTTACCGAATCCCACATGAAGAGCTGGCGTCCTATTCCCCCAGGAATCACATCCCCCAACTTTGTTCCTGTAGGAGTGTTGCCTCTCTTTTAGCAGAGGCCGGTGAGACATTTGGGGATGCTGAGAATGAAATGGATTTGGGGGCGCCTGGGTGACTCAGTCAGTTAAGCATATGACTTTTGATCTCAGCTTAGGTCATGATCTCACAGTTTGTGGATCGAGCCCCACTTCGGGCTCTGCACTGACAGTGCAGAGCCTGTTTGGGATTCTCTCCCTCTCCCTCTCTCTGCCTCTCCCCTGCTTGCACTCTCTTTCACTCTCCTTTAAAAAAATGAATTAAATGAGTTTGGGCCAGGACTTTCACAGATTGGGATGCCTTCCCCCAGAGCAGGTGCAGGGGCATTGAGGAAATTGGAGAGGCTGGTGAGGAAATTGGAGAGGCTGGGTAAGGGTTTCTTGTTGCAGAGTGGGAGGATTTGAGGTAATTCTGAGCTAAGAGGAGAGAGGCAGCTTGGCAAGTGGTAAAATTAAAAGTCCACAAGTAAAAGGGAAAGAATTCTTCAAAAGAATGAAAACCAAGTGTTCAGACATCCCAGAAGGAGAAACTTCAAGAGAGTCCTAATTAAATCATGATGATTGAGTCATAAGTTATTTCCACGGTGAAACACAATGTATTTCCTTCTCTCATGCATCAGTTTCTTAGAATTTTTTGTGTGTGCATTTTTCTAAAACATCAAGTATCATGGTAAGATTGCAAAGTGGTCGGTCTCACTGACTGTTACATGATATGAAGCATAATCACTGAACTTCACTCCAAAGGAGAAAAGAACAGTGATGCCTGTCTTTCCAGGCCCCTGTTTCCTATGTGCCATCCAAACACCCAAACTGCTTATTCCCCCCCAGAAAATGAAAGATGAGTTTCTAAAGTCCTGGCTTTTGAGGTAGAAATAAAAATTTTCCTTTATTAATCATAACCAGATTTCTTCCTTCACATGTGCAGAGCGCTAAGGCAATAGCATCCCTGTCTTTTCTGGGACTCCTACTTCTCCTGGCAAGTTGCTTCCAGAACTAGCAGCACTAGGAACTTCCTGACCTTCCTCTAGGAGCCTGTGACACAGGTCAGGATCCACACACCCATCTGAGCCCAGAATATGTCTGCTCACGCCTCCACCCTACCTAAAATACTTCAATGGTTTTCCCATTGCTTGCTGGATAAGGTCAGAATTTTTTAGCATGGCATGCAATGCCTTCATGATGTGTCCTCAGGCTACCCACCTAGTCTTAACTGCCAAACGTCCACTCTCTAGCTTGCCCTCAAACTCACTGAGATTTTTGCCTTTACTCAAGCAGGTCGGCCATGTTGTCTCCCATTGAAGTTTGGCTTAAGATGTTATGCCAACTTGGAATGCTGTCACCATGTTGGGTCACCTCCTCACAATCTAGGGCTCAGTTCAAGAATAATTTCTGAAAGTTTTTCCTTATCTTACCTACCCCACAGCCCAATCCACATCAGGTGAACACCAGTGTTCACTCTGGCATCACACTGAATATTGTAGTCGTCTTCTGACATGATTGTTTTTTGAGTACTTGCTAGATGTTGAATATTCAATGGTGAGCAAAACTAGCATCCGGCTTACAGTCTCATGGAGAAAATCAGCTATCAAAAGATCCCGTATAAAAATAAAAGCATTGACTGTGCTAAATGCTATGAAGGAAAAGGATTCCATTAATGCATAAAATTAAAATTATAGGCTGGGGAAGGATTGGGGGAGGGGGAGCGAGTGATAACTGGGCTGAAATTTAAAAGTATGAGTAAGAGTTAACTAAGTGAAAAGAGAAAGAAGCATTCCAAAGAGAACAGAAAGTCCTGCGTTTATTTATTTGTAAGTTCTGACAAATAGAGGCATGAAGCCATTTGTTGGGAGATAGAAAGCATGAAGGAGTGAGAGATTTAATAAATACATGATATCGGAGACACTGGAGTTCTCAGAATTGCCTCAGGCTTCTATGTTAACAGCCAAAGAATTTAATCTGCAAGTTGTTGGATCTGCCCCGTAGGTCTGGTGTCTGACCCCCTCTTCCCATTGCTGTAGGATAAGGCAAACTGTTTCAATGGTCAATCCCAAAGGACCACCTGTTACCAAAGGACGGTCGAGAGGAAATCAGCAAGAAAACAGCCTCTTGGAAATGGAGACCAAAAGTCTGGGGCCTCTGAAAAATAAGGGCAACATTGGGAAAAGAGAAAGGAAGGAAGTGCAGATAAAAGAAGAGACTGGAAAACACACGTAGATGGTTCTGGCCATAGACAAGGCAGCAGTTGAACCCTTTAGTCTGGGCAGAAGCCAGGCATAATTATTAAGAGTAGAATCCTATTCTAGAAGTGATGAGAGGAAATCTGAACCCTTGGGCTCCGGGTAAGTAAAAGTTTGTTTGTTTTCCCAGCCTGAAGTGTGTGTTTGCTTCCAAGCCTTAGGGCTATTTGTCCCTGTTAGACCCTGGGGGCCGAGGCAGGGCTCTCCGTGGAGAACGTGGGGAACGGAGGAAACTTAGGGAATGTTTGTTTATATTTTCGATAATAAAAAGGGTGTTATTGTTATCCTGATCTCATTAAGTCATTTTCTCCTTCACTTTTCTAATTCACTCGGCAGGGAGCTTAAGAATTCATTTTCATTTACTCTTAAAACCTCTAAAGTGATGCCAAAAGCAGATATACAACTGTTCCCCCTGGGAAGGAGTGTTGCCTTCCAATCTGGAAAAGCATGAAGGAGCTGGTCTATATTGATTTTTAGTCAAAGCCATTGTCACTGGCGTAATCCTAAGCATCTGCCCCATGTTGAAGGGAGCTGTCTGTCCAAATATCTGTTCTTTCATGCTGTTCTGGACTCAAGCACTAATCTGAAAATTCATATTTGGCTTTTTTTCTAAAGGGACCCCATTGTCTTCCAGAAACAAGAGCAGGTTCCACTCAAGCATATGCTATAAAATATCTCTGACCAGAACTCCACCGCCTGAAATTTCAACTTTATAAGGAAGGCTAAGAAAGAAAGAAAGGGAAAGAAAGTAAGAAAGAAAGAAAGAAAGAAAGAAAGAAAGAAAGAAAGAAAGAAAAGAAGGAAGGGTTAAAGAAAAGAAAAAGAAAAAGTGAAAACCAGGAAATGAAGGTCCCATTAGCAGTCAAGAGCCACAGCGTGTCATGAACGGAACTTTATTTACATTACTTGAAAAGACACATTTCCAGGTCTTCAGTGAAGCAAAATGACAGTAAGAAAAGAGTGAAGCTAGGCAGATCTCAGTCCAGCCCCATCCCCTCCACTGATAAACCATGTGAACTGGAACAAATTTTGGTAATAGGCTTCTCTCCAGTTCTCATTTCCTCCATCCATAAATGGGCAATAGGAAACCTAGCTTAAAAGATTCTTGCTGTGATTGGGAATTAGAAAATAAGATCTCAAAGTTAATGCTTACTTATTCAGTCTTATTTCCAACACAAACACAGCAAATTTCCTTCTCTGGATTTCTCCAGTCCGCCACTGAGCAGGCCTGGAATTCAAAGCAGGAAGAGGTTCCCCTAAGCGTTGGTGAGAAAGGACCTCTGGTCAGCTGATTTCAAAGAAGAGATGATGCCAGAACTTAAATAAGCATCCACCTGCAGTGTTTTACCCCAGAGTCAGAGACATTGGTCCTACCCTTCTCAGCAAGACCTGAGGGCAACTTAAAGACTCAGCAAAATGAGAGTAGCTCAATGCGACACCCCCCTTCCAAAAGAAGTTTACATTCTTCCTAGACTATCATAATTAAGGAGGCAGAAAGTAAGAAAGACTTTGGAACCATTTTCATCCATGAGTTTTTAAGTTTCATTCATTCTACGTTCACCTCACTGAGCACCTGTCATGTTCCAGGCACTCTTCCATATTTGAAATACATCAGGAAACAAAAGACAAAAATCTCTGCCCTGGGGAAGCTCAAATTTTTGTGGAGAGAAACAAGCGATAACCAATGAATACATCAAAGAAGTAAACAAATACATTATGGTCAAAGATGCTAAATGTGATGAAAGAAATATAGGGCAGGGGTAACGGAAGTTAGGAGGAGAGGGACAGGTAGGTTACAATTTAAAATAGGGCAACTGGAAAGGACTCAAAAACAGTCCTGTACTTTTTGATATTTGAGAAACCAAAAGGAGGCTGGTTCTGGAAAAGCTAAGAAATCACAATTCTTTTTCTGTTATTGAATTCCTAGATTGGACTTTAAGTGTCTATCACTGCCCAAGTAGACTTAAATTCTTTAAGAATAAGCTCAGATGTGTGAGTGCTGGTGTGGCTCAGTCGGTCGAGCTCAGGTCATGATCTCATGGCTTGTGAGTTCGAGCCCTGCATTGGGCTCTCTGCAGACAGCGGGGAGCCCATTTTGGATCCCCTGTCCCTCTCTCTCTCTCTCTCTCTCTACTCCTTTCCCCTCTCAAAAACAAGTAAACACTTAAGAAGAAGAAGAAGAAGAAGAAGAAGAAGAAGAAGAAGAAAAGAAGAAGAAGAAGAAGAAGAAGAAGAAGAAGAAGAAGAAGAAGAAAAAGAAGAAGAAAGAGGAGGAGGAGGAGGAGGAGGAGAATGAACTCAGATGTGTTGCCACAGTGCCTAAGATATCAACAGACAATTATGTGCTGAAGCTATTTTGATGCATGAATGAATGAGGGATAAATAAGTAAAACACTGACCTCTGAGAACTCATGGCTTCTTTGGCTCCAACAAACTGAGCATCTATTATCTTCCGTGTGGTTTAGCCATCTTGTCCCCCAGACCAAACATACCTCTTCCTCCTTTCCTCTCTCCCTGGTGAGTTTCTCATTCACTGTCCCCAAGAGGGTAGATCTGTTGGGGCCAATGTGGCACCTTTCACTATGGAACTCTAGGCAGCATCATAGCCAGCTACCTCATTGTTGAATTTCCTCATAGTTCCTTCCTGTTATGACAAAGACCAGAGGTCCAGTCTTGTGTCGAGGTGACGGGGATCCTGGCTGTAAGCTGGATGAAAATACAGATTGAACCTCCCAAGACACATTTTTCAGAAGGAGGATGCATGAAGAGTAAGCACACATAGTTTGGTGATGCAACAGGTATAAGAGGTTTCAACAACAAATTAGAAAATGGGGAAGGTGAGGCCAAAGTTATTAGATAAGCTCCCGGCTTGTGTGAATCTCTATGGTTTTAATATTCATTTCACCGCAAGCTACAGTAAAAACTCGAATAGGTTCAAGCAGTTGAGCAAAAGCTGGCCCTTATCCAGGAAACAACTAGAATGCTAAATTCTCGAATGTAGACTGTTTTTTTATTGTATACATTTAACATACAACAGTGCTTCTCATATTTAGACATAGCACTTCCTATGCCATACTACCCATCTGCAAAATCCCAAAACTTAAGAGTCAGTATCATAGATAAGTGCTAGGAGAAAGGCCATGCTTAAGGAAATTTGTCCAAACCGAAACCAAAACCCCAGTCACTGAATTTGGTAGAAGTGTTCAGTGACCCACGAGTTTGTGCCTGAATCAGTTGCCAAACAGGGGAACTATACCTACCTTTTGATGCCTCTGCATGGAGGTCCTTCTGGGCCAGGCAGGCATCTGTTTCCTCTTTGTAGCCAACTCAGGGCCCCAGACAAGACCTTGGGCAGAGGCAGTAGCTGGATGGAAATGTGCTGAGGTTGCTCTAGTTACAAAGGGATGTGGTTAGTAGGGTGGCCTGGTGCAGATCTATCCGGTTTAAAGAGGAGATAGACACCAACCGTGGTCTTCCCAGTTTCATTTTTAAGGTGGGATGGCAGGGTAGGACCCTGTGTCTGACAACTATCCTGCTCCTTTATTAGAACCAGAAGGAGACATTTGCAGTAGGCTTAGATTCGACTCTGACCGACAACAGCATCCTTCCTTGACAGCCAGGCTTGCTTGGTGTCTCCTGTGGTAGTCTTTGCTCACATGTCTGGGACTGTATCAGACCATGCTCAGCAGTGGGGACAAAAAATTTTGGCCAGGGGCAGGACACAGGACACAGGTAGTTTTTGTCTGCAAGCCTTTAGAAGAAAAAAAAATAATAAGGTCTTTGTCAGTATTTGAAACCTGGGAGGTTTCATATAAAAATCCTGGTATCCAACTTCTCTTGACAAATCAGAAGATCTGGCAATAGGCAAGAAAGATGTAGATCTGGGGCCCCCAGGTTGGCTCTCCAATCGTCTACCTGATTTCACAAAAGGGCCGTACCTGTCTTGCCCTTGGAAGCATTTAATTGGTGACAAACGCCTCCCACCATCTTGACAACTAGTTCAAAGCAGAGAATAATGGTCATCATTTATCAAGTGCTCGTGATGGGTCACTCTTCTGAGATCTTCCGATGTATGAACTCATTTAACCCTCAACAACTCCATGAGATGTATCCTACAGATTACAAAAAAGGGAAACTGAGACAAGAGACATTCAGTGGTGTGCCTGTGGTCACACAACTAGTACGTGGCAGAAATCCAAGGAAAAGCAAAGGGGGTTGACTCCGGAATCCCAATGCCTGACTTCTGATCTACGCTGCCTTTCGGATTAGCCAAATGCACTCTCTTCTTCGAATGTTTCCAATTTCGTGATCTCTCTTCGGCTGTGTTCCAGCCTAACAAGAGTTTCTCACCATATGTACACACACATTGCACCTACAGGTTGATATTTTATGTAATAAATTTCATCTATAGAATATATTGTATAAGCCATGCTTTATATGTCCATTAGTCAATATATATACCTGTGTACATATATCCTGATGGCCAGGTTAAATGTTTTTTTCATCTATTCAAGCTCTGGGAGTCCTAAAGGTACAGAAGAACTAAACCACAGCCACTGGCTGCCTTTGGGTAGAAGGGAGCCACAATCAGCTCCTCGAGGAGGTGGCTGCAAAGGGCGTGGAGATGGGGACAGATGTGGCTGTCCGGGAGCCCGAGAGCTTCTCCATCTGCTGGCCCCTTGGACGTCACATGTGCTCTGACCCAAACCACACACTAAGCCGAGCTTCTCAGATTCACTCCAGAACCTTCTTTGCTCAGGTTCCTGGCCACCACTTCTGGCAGGTCACTGCCGGAGCACCAGCCACGGCCTCCGCTCCATCCAAACTTGGCTGTCCCCCAAACGGTGGCTCCCTTGGGCTCCTCGCATCCTGCCTGCTTCTCCTGTAGTATCTTTGCTCTGTTCTGAAGGCTCCTTTATTAACCAGGCCCGAAGGCCGAAATCCTTTCTTGTTCTTTTATAACAAAATAAACGACTTCCATGTTATTTATTTTATTTCCGAATACTCCCCCTTTAGGGGTGATTTTTGTTATTGTTTGCTGAGGGTTGTTTTGTTATTGTTTATTTAATGAAGCCCAGGCTGAAGACGCTGTGGCGTCCCCAAGGCACTGCCTCTAGGCTCTGGAATTTTCCTTCAGCCTTCGCCAGCCACGCCCTTGGCTTCCTGTGAGCCCTGGCTGAGTGCGGCCTCCCAGCGCCGCCTCCTCCTGCCTGGTCTCTCTGGGAACCTGCAATACCCCAATTCCCATGCTCCTCCCTGGACACTCTCAGACCCCCAGTCTCCACGGAGAACATTTCCTATCTTTATTTTCCAGCACTTCATAATTTAAATAGATCGTGTTACTGGGGAGGTGCAACTGATAATCTTCCAAAATCAAAACCTTCTGGAGAAGTCTAGAAAATGAACACTCCTATAACATGGTCTTTATCTCACCTCCTCGTGATTTGAATTTTTTCCTTTAAGCACAAGGTACTGCTACCAACACTGATAATTCCTAAAGACTGGGGAATTCTTTGAATTTCAGTATGCTACAAAAACAGGGGCTTTTGGTTGTATACTAATACATCCCAAATGCTTAGTATGTAATAGGCACTCAGGAAAAAGTTTACTGAGTGGAGGAAGAGACTCATTATTTAAGAACTGTTATTATAGACCAGAAAATATATGAGAAACTCACTAGTATGGCTCGTTAAGTCTAAACACTGAAATGGTCTAATCTACAACAAGGTCTTTGCCAAGAAATCAAGTGTTCCCTTCAATCTCAGTCACCTTGTGAATTTAGACTGAGATCTATCCTAATCCTTATTTTACTGGACAGCAAGTAACCAAGATCCCCGGAAAAAAAGAAAAAAAAAAAAAAACAGGAATATAACATTTGAGGGTGTTAATTTTGAATCTGAACATTAAATTCTCTTTTTTAATACTCCCGCAGTCCAAAAATTGCCTGAAGTTTCAAGATACGGGGTTTTGTTGATGTTTAGATCAAATATATATGTAATAAAATATATTACTTGCTCAGTACCGCTAATTCCGAGTCACTCCTAGGAAGCTTTCTGGCACTAAAGTCTTCCTCTTTCTTCTAGTAAACTCAATCTTTAAGCAAAAAGGCTGTGTTTCATATCTTTATATTTATAGATCCTAGCACATACTAGATACTCAATAAATATTTGTCGACAGAATGAATTCAGTGATACTTTTCCATGTGGTTAATTGTACCATATTTTGAAAGCTAAGCTTGACCAAATGGCCAGTAAAACCTGCGTGCAAAACCATGGAGCTGCAGTCAATCCTGGAAGATGTTGTGGACCCATATTTTGAAAGAAGAACTAGCTAGTCCCACCTAGTTTATATTATTTGGTGGAAAAAATAGGGCTGGGGGAAGTCTTCACTTACTGCATCAATCTCAGAGAGGGAGGAAGTTGTGAGTGAAAGAGAGTAGACTAGAAAGTTTCTGAGATTTTCTTGGAACACCGGTTGGGGGTGGAATTGAAACAATTGTGTGGTCTTAAGATGGGCATTGATATCTGGGGCAGGGCCCAGGAATCTGTATTTTTAAACTATCTCTGGGGTGGATTCTTTTTTTTTTTTTTTGAAGCTACTCAAAATCCTCCACCCTTCCCTGGACCCACGTCCTTGGGAACGCGTCATTGAAGGTCCTCCCGTAAAGACGTGAAGTCCGTTTCCCCACATTGATTCTGGGCTGGTCTTTGCACTTGCTCTGACCAATACTGTGGGCTGGAAGTAATACTGGGCCAGTTGGGAGCCTAAGCCTCAAATGGCCTTGCTTGCTTCTAGCTGTTCCTTTGCTTGCTGCTACAACATAAGCAAGCCCTGTCTAACCTGCTGGATTATTAGAGACACGCGACCTCTGTCACCCCGTCACTCAGTTGGCAGCCAGCCAGCCATCGGACATCTGAGACCACGAAAGTCTACCTGAGAGCTGACTGCAGACCCACAGTGAAACCTGGCCAAGGTCAGCCCAGCCTAGCTGACTGGCAGATTCACACAGTCAGCCTACAGATTTGGAGTCAGTTAAGAGATGGCTGTTTTAAGCAACTGAGCTCTGGGTTGGCTTACCAATGCACTCTTTAGATGATCCCTGCAACCAGGCAAGCTTAGGAAATGTTAGTCTAGAAGATATTTGCAACTTTCCTGGAATAAAGAAATGTCTGAATGCCAACTTCTATAAGTTTCTTAATATTTGGTTCTTCTTCCCCATTGACTGAACACAAATTAAAATGTAATTAAACATTTAAAAATGTTTATTCACTTCTGAGAGACAGAGACAGAGAGAGAGAGAGAGAGAAAGACAGAGCATGAGTGGGGGAGGGGCAGAGAGAGAGGGAGACACAGAATCCGAAGCAGGCTCCAGGCTCTGAGCCGTCAGCACAGAGCCTAACGCGGGGCTCAAACCCATGAACCATGAGATCATGGCCTGAGCTAAAGTCAGACGCTTAACAGACCGAGCCACCCAGGCGCCCCTCAATTAAAATGTAATTAGAAAAAACTTACACTGACTTTCATAACTTAAAAAAAAATCCACTGAAAGCTGCAAAAAGAATAATCAAGAATTATGACTTCCCAGGGGGTTGGGGCTTGGGGCTAGGTTTTGGAAATAACCACTAGTAGTCAGGTATATGATCATCACAAACCAAAACCTATTTCAGTGTTCCCCATGCCCAGAAATGAAAGGCAGAATTGATACATAAAACAAGTAATGGTTCTCAGTTGTGTTAATCCCAGAGTAGCAGGCTATGTACAGTAACGATTTTCAGGTGCATAATTTGGGGGCCTGGAAATGGATACTGAATTCTTTGTTTTTCAGCAACGGACACATTCTGCACTCCTAATCCCTTGCCTAATAACAACACTGTATTTTACTATTAATGATTAATGCCCATTGCTGATACATGCAGATTAATGGCTTGATGACTAGACAGGAAATGCTGTGCATGCCCACGGGCAAGTTGCCTTAGCTAGTTATTAATCACCAAAAAGTGAACTGCACGGAATCACAGCAACGAGACAGAATGAAAGCTTGGTTGTATCGATCACTTTAAATTTGCCTTTAGGTCAGCGAGAATGCATAAAGACAAGGCATTAGAGGAAAGTTATGTGTGGTAAAGATACCAGGAACCAGGTGCTTGGGCCATTTTCACAGTTCCTCCTTCTTCAGAGGCTGATGAATTATAACACGATCCTAATGATCTGACAACAACAAGGAAAGGGAACTACTTTTTCAATTAGCACATTGATTAAAGATTTCACAAGTACTTTTATTCTCTTTTTAACCAGCTAATTGGTTTTCTTGCTGAAATTAAAAAAAAAAAAAAAGCAGCCTCGCATGGTCTTGCCTATTATAATATTTTGCAAAGACCCGTGACATTTTGAAACAATAAAAAGAAAATAGCACCACAGAGGTGATCTAAAAAGTAGCCCCTTTTGAACAAATATGCTTGATGATTAAAAAAATTCTATTATGTTTTGGTTTGCATAAAATAGGCTTTGAAAAGAAAAAGCCTATTTTTTTTTTTTTTTGAGAAACCTCTTTTATGAGCCAGGTTAGAAGATGAAATAACCATATCACGCATGGGAGAAGACCGAGTGAAGTTTATTTATTTATTTTAAGAGAGAGAGAGAGAGAGAGCAAGCAGGGGAGGGTCAGAGAGAGGGGGAGACAGAGAGAATCCCAAGTGGGATTCAAACCCAAGTTGCGGGGCTCCAACCCACCAACCATGAGATCATGACCTGAGCCAAAACCAAGAGTCGGGCGCTCAACCACTGAGCCACCCAGGTGCCCCTATTATCAAGTACATTTAAAACAGTTAACTTGGCAGTTCAAAGTGGTGTATTGGACGTACATCTATCTCCTCTTCTGCCTGAGCATCCTCTAATTTATTGCAAAGGGAGTAATGAAATAATAATTTTTAAAGGTATAAATTTACAACAAAGAAAATAGAGGGACCACCGGTAGTTTTAAGATGTCAGGACACTTCTAAAAAATGGGGAGCGGATGTAGGCATCATGGATGATCCAAGTGGAGGAATCTGTGGCCAAGAATAGGTAGAGATAAGCGACCATCTGAGAAGGAAGATAGTCTGATTTTAAGAACCACAGGAAAGCTTGAATTTGGGAATGCTACGTATAGAAGAGGGTCAAGGTGGACACTGAAGTCTACCCACCGATAGGTCCAGCCAACCTTCAGTCGAGAAGCAGATCCCCCAAGAGACAGGCATTTGCCCTTCCAGGAAGGAGGGTTCTTTTCTTAAATCTTGACTGGAAGAAGTAAGAGAAGTAAGACCCTTGTGGGAGGTGTTACCTTAAAGAGATGATCTGTACATTTTTCGTATATTTGGAAATTAAAAATGAAAGTATCTTTCTTATTAAATTCTCCATCATCTTAGAGCTCATTTCCCA